CCCCTAAAGAGAGCCAAGATAATACAAACAAACAGTTGAAAGAGACAAAACCAAACCAAAAAAAAAAAAAAAAAGACAATACAAACTGCTCAAGACGAGAAAATAGAAATAGAAACTATAATGAAAGCAAAATGGAGGGAATTCTGGAAATGGAAAATTTTGAAATTTAAGCAGAAACTATAGAGACAAGCTATGAATTATTTATCTTTGTAAAGCTGGAATGCTATTGACTAAGCTTCCTCAAGTAAAATAGCTGGATAAAATTTGTATAAAGGTGATATTGACATTGTGACATGAAAAGATTTATTATCATTGATCTAGGTATAAAGATCCCAAATGATAGTACCAAGATGTTCCTGAGAAGCCTTTCACAGGAGAGGTGGACAAACACTGGACAGCATTAGACCTAAAATATATATTGTGAACAAGTTGCCACTCATATCACATCTGAAAGACAATATCAATTCTATAAAGGCTTATGGTATATACTTTGATATGTAGAAATACAGAGAGCCAAAATCTAAAAGAGATAAGCAATCCTTAAGTTTATATTGAACACATTAAGCAAAGAAATTCAATTATATGAACAAATATACATAAATGAAATAAGTCATCTACTACCTATTGACCCATTTATTCACACATAAACTGTTTCCTTGGAAAAGAAATCTAAAACACTGTGAAAATTACCCTCATTGCCTTGAATAAATAGGTTTCAAAGATGTAATAATTTTTTAACATTAAATGAGAACAGAACCTCTAGTGCTATATGTTTGGCATTTGAGTAATACTTCATACAAAGAATAAAAATCAAAGCTGCACCACAACTGCTCCAAAAGTCTTTGAGACCTGGTGTATAGTGTATTCTCTGAGAAGTTAATGCTGAAGTGCAAGATACCATGTATGAATTAGACATATAGGTATTGACTATTGACAAACAAAATATTGAAATGCACACAGACACATACACAGAAAGAGAGAGAGAGAGAGAGAGAGAGAGAGAGAGAGAGAGAGAGAATAAAATGAAGGCATTCTAAAAGAAATAATCAATCAAAAGAGAGAGTGAATGTATAGCATTTGGCTCTTTCCACATTAAACTACCACGACCATGTTGTGGATCTGAATTTGAAGCGGAAAGAGATGTACACAGGCTGCTTCAATAAGCTGTACCAACGGCCCAAGCACAAACTTGATGAATAAATCCTGTGTATAGTGTGTGTAAATTCTATAATAATAACTTATCAAAATAGGCAAGGCCTGTGTGTGTAAGTTCCAACACATTTCACTGAAATGACAGTGAATCAATTTTAAAGTAGTGAAAGGACCAAGCAGATGCCATAACAGGCTGCTCAGTCTTATCTCAGAGATCAGGCCTCAATTTCAGTTTCCTGAGACTTGAGCAAGCAGTTTCTGTGAGGGCCATGAACAAAAGACATAGTCCTTGCAGTAGCTCCCTTTCTGCACGTACTCTGACTACTCAAAGTTCAGCCAGATGTTTACGGTCTAGGACCCCTCACCAAGTTAGAGTTCTGTGCATGAGTCAAGGACAGAGCCTGGACCACTGAGCCAGCCCCCACAGTCAGTATGTGCTACGCCAGCCAGCCCCCATGGCAGCTCAAGGACAAAGCCTGGGACTTGTGCTGGACTGCCCCCAAAGTGAAAATTGTAACCACCAACCAGAAAATTCAAAGGTTACATACCCTCACCCAATTAAAAGAGAACAGAGATAAAAATAAACCAATCCGAGTTGCACCCATGCAACCCCCTCCCAACCCCCCTGAAGGGCTTGTGGTTTTTGCCTTTAAAAAGCTAGCCACACAAAGAAAGAGCAACTCCTCCCTGCCTCACTGTATTGCGTGCAGGAATGAGTTCCCTGTCTAAACTTGTATCTACAGAATAAACCTTGCTGTTGCATTCTGGACATCCAAGGTCTTCGGTGGTCTCTTTGGGGTCACAATCTGGGAATAACAGTAGTTAAAGACTGCAAGCAATAGCAGGCAACATTTAAATCAAGAAGTGAAACTAAAACACTTTTTCCAAATAAATACTTTATTTAGAATGAAGTAGAGAGGTTATAAATATTTTTGTGATAAACAAATGCTCACTATAAACAATATCACTGAATCTCATGAGCTATATGTATATATAGCTACATAAATGTATATATAGCTCATGAGCATTGCATGTATATGCTATAGAATTTGTATTCAGAATGGTTACATTATCTCATAGAAAAATAAAATTATCATCATAATGTATTTTGAGAACCCATCTATAAATTTACTGTGTAAAGATGATGAAATACATGTTATTTTAAAATGTCCACAGTGAGGTGACTAGTATCTAAAAGTAAACAGTACCACATACAAAGGTTGGCAAATTTCTGAAGTAAAGTGAATTTTGGATGTCACTGGCCATGGAATCTCTATTTGTCCCTGCTATTGCAGCAGGAAAGTATGCCTGTTCCTGTCTAAGCTAGTAATCCTGGCTATGTTCCAAAACACGCTGTTGACAAGAAGAGGAGGCAGATGGATTTGGCTTGTGAGCCATCTGTAGCTGGAGACCTGACCTTAGCTTCCACTGAATTTTGTTTTACATTTTCATAGCTGCTTTCAGTATGATTTTTCTTTTTGATAATAAAATTTTAAACTAGATTATTAAAGGTTTTAAAAAGTACCCATCAGTAAAAATGTTGACTAATTGGGTTTTTAAATAAAGTATACCAGTAGCTAATAAACTGCCAAAGAGCCATGTGAGTGAAAGTAAATGTTATTAGTGAATACATTTCCTATTACATCATAATACACTATAACATTGCTACGCTACAATTTCATCACCATTAATTACAAGATTTTTGTGATACAAAATGTAAACAAATTTGCACATTAATTTTCATACAAATAAAACACATGTAACATGAGTACATTCATTGTGTTTTACCATGGAGTTTCTAATCCTTACCTTCTACAAGTTTCCCTGTGTGTTCCGCACTTCCACCAGGAAGAATCTTAGCAATATAGGCTCCAATTTCTCCACTATGTCCAGGGATTTCTTTACCACCAACAATTCTAATTCCTAGACCGTTACCTATATTTAAAAATTAGCAAACTGTTAGTAATAATTCGAGAAGTAAACACTTATTAGAAGTAGGTTACACAAAAAGTGGATTAAATACCCAGAAGCCCAGTCCAACACTAAGAGTAGAAACTAGACTTCAATAACAAAATTACATTATTCTGATTCAAAAATAGATAATAATACACAAGGTTATTGGGACTTAAGTATAATCTACAGTGATTAGATTATCATTGAACACTTTCTCCAAGTTAGTCATATTCAATCAAATAGTAAATGCTCCCAAATTAAACCATATATATAAAAAAAATTACAAAAGAATATGTTCAGAAAAACTTCAATGTAAATAATTCAACTATGAAACTATGAACAATTTACTCCCAGAAATGTAACCATGGTTATTGTAAACCAGACAAATACAATCCCAATACGACTTTACATGGTAATAAGACCATAACCTGTTATTCTTCACTTCCAACTTTAACTCCCCACTGTGTACTGCTTGTGGCACAAGAATGTTGTTTCAGATTATGAGTAACTTAGTCCTGGTTCTTTACTCCATAACAAGATTGTTCTATAATTACCCATCAATAATTATGACAAACAATTCTGATACACATGAACTGTTGCAACCTAAGTTGGTGTGGTGTTTCTAAATAAGCTAAAAATAAGTGAGTACTTGTAGTACTAGGTATATTTCTGTGACAAATTTTAAAGGCTTTGTGGCAAAATGTAATACAAGAAAGCAGAACTCTTAATGTCTAACGAAGACACAATTACCTGTTAATTTAAGTGAATTTTATTACATTTGATATTGGAAGCACAATTCTTAAAGCTTTTCAGTCTCAAAATCCTGCTCCTTTCTCACTTTATTCTTCAAAAATAATGCTTTGGCCAGTATCTGCACAGTTCAAGGTTATACAACTAACTATACTAAATCATGGGATCTTTCTGTCACTTCTTTTTTTTTTTTTTTTGGTTTTTCGAGACAGGGTTTCTCTGTGTAGTTTTGCGCATATTCCCGGAACTCACTCTGTAGCCCAGGCTGGCCTTGAACTCACAGAGATCCACCTGGCTCTGCCTCCCGAGTGCTGGGATTAAAGGCGTGCACCACCACCGCCCGGCCCTTCCTGTCACTTCTAAAGCAAAGACATACTTTAGTATAAAACACCCTTGCAGTTCATGTGATAAAATAGATGAACTTCCTTCTGCCTCATTTCCTTCCTTTCTTTGTTTCCTTCATGCCCCTGTCCCTCTTTCTTCCTTTCTTCCTTTCTCTTCCTTTCTTCCTTTCTTCCTTTCTTCCTTTCTTCCTTTCTTCCTTTCTTCCTTCCTTCCTTCCTTCCTTCCTTCCTTCCTTTCTTTCTTTTTCTTTCTGTCTCTCCCTTATTTCCCCCAGTTTTCCTCCATCACTCCAACTTTTTCTCGTTGCCTCTTTTCTCTCTTCTTGTTTTCTCCATTTCTCATCTGCCTTCCATCCCTTATTTAAGTCAGAATAATCAAAATTAGTAACCTGCTTCTAAATGTCCTGTCATTAAGGATTCATGGTGAAGCAAGATACTGACTCCTTCTAGTTCCACATTTAGAGATTTTTCTGTCCCAAAGTTCATGGCTCAGCATGACTTTTTTTAGTAATTATTTTATGCAACAAATTTAACATAATTGCATTAATTGAAATAAATCTGGCAAATAACAACACTCAAGTAAATCTGGGTCCAACCTGGTGAGTCATTGGAATTTAGACTTTATGAAGTCATCAGGATAGAATCTACAATAACACTATAGATACTTGTCAATCATATAATAGATAAAATAGTATTAGCCAGTCTTTAATCAACTAATCTAGCCCATGTTTACCAATGTACTAAGAATGTTTTAGAAATTACTAAAAGTTTCATAAAATATTAAAAGTTTGTATAGTAACATAAAGTAGGAAAGTAAAAAGTCTTGGGAAGGAAAACTAGATTGTTTTTACACTAACATGTATATCATGAAAGCTAATTCAATTTATATGTTTTTTTGAAAAATAAATTTGGATCTTTGGACATTGTGTGTTATATTTCCATAAAACTAAAATATCCCTTTTCAAGTATAGAAAGTATGATGTCAATGTAAGTCATTGAATGGAAAAATACAGTAGTTTTGAACTAAAATGACTGGAATTAAAGGGCTCATAATATGTAATATTTATATTAGCAATTTATAGCTTTTTGTATTTTTTTTAGTGTATAGACATGCATATTAGGGGTGGGTGTTTCTGTGTGCAAGTGTGTGTGTGTGTGTGTGTGTGTGTGTGTGTGTGTGTGTGTAAGCCATGATAATCATGTGGAGGTCTCACGATAACTTGTGGGAGATGGTTTTCTCCTTCTACCATAGGTTCTGGGACTGAATTCATGTTATCAGGCTTGGTGGCAAATACATTTACCATTTGAGCCATTTGACTGGTTCCATGTTTATATAACTTTTGACATTTTTTTAAGGAAAAACCCCAAACAATCTCCTTTGCCATTCTATTTAGTTATGTAGAAGCACTGATTAACACTCTCTTAGTAGGAGGTCACGAAATACACAGGACTTGATTTCACAGTGTGACAGGAGAAAGAAACATATGAAACAACAATTAATATGAAGAATATAATAGCTTTAACAAAAAAAGAAAAGAAAGAAGTTAGAATTTTAAGTAGAGCAAGTCTTACAGGGTCAATTACAATTCACAACACATTTAAACTGTGTCAGGGAAAGCTCAATGATAGAGCTAGCAAAGCAGTAAGAAAAGGCGTTATTATTAATGTGCCTAGAATGACAACAGAAATGGATTGACTGTTCTATGTCTCTATACATATTATAAGTATTTGATACATATACTGAGATATTAGGTTGATGAAATCACTTTTAAAATAACTTATGCATAAAAGTGAGCATATTTAGGGAAAACTATATTCCCATGTGAGTTCACAGTTTGAAGATTTAATTGTATATGTTTATCAATATGTTACATTAAATTCTTTAAATGCCACAAAGAAGGCTTTTGTGCCATTTAAAATAATACATGAAAATATTAAGAGATTTTAGAGCATTTAGTTTGGGCAAAATTAAAGTACTGGCTTCACTCCATGATGCATCTAAGGATCAAGGGAATTTGTATAATTTAAATGTTACAACTTATGAATAATTATTCTAACATATTAAATTTGTCCATAAAAACCTAAAGAAAATAAATGTATTACACAGAGTTTGTCTTTAGTTTGAGAAAGAAAAATCAGTATCAACACAAATATTAATGCTTGCGAAGTGTGAAGAACAAAGTAAATGTCTCTGTATACTGTTTATATTAGGTCAATTACATCATCTTTTATGTATGTTAAATATTAATTGTACTCTTAAGGGAATGAACATTTGTTTTTGTACTTTTCATTTATGAATTTCTGTTTTAAACTATAAATGTAAGTACTTAGAAAAGCAAACTAAATTATACCAAAATCAATAGTAATGCATAGTGAAAAGGAAAATGTTGCAGTTTGTACATGGATATTGAAATATGAGGAATGAAAGAATAGTTCATGATTTTTCTTTAATTAAAAATAATTCTGCTTGGTATAAGAGAAACCTTCCTAAAATGCATAGTGATTCCTTAATTACAGTCCACAGAGATACCTTCCTGAAAAGCAAGAACGTGAAACACACAAAGCCAGTCCACCTGAAAACTGAAGAGGCTAGTTTTAATCTCATGTATTCCCATTTGCTTTTTCTTATACAGGCATACTGCCTTAGGATGCTGCCCTCCACCAAAATTTTAAATATGTATGTGTGTGTGTGTGTGTGTGTGTGTGTGTATGTATGTATGTATGTATGTATGTATCTATCTATCTATCTATCTATCTATCTATCTATCTATCTTATTTTTCTATCTATGAAAACATGTTTCTTTTTTCAAAGATATGAAGACAGTATTTCTTTTCTATTTTTAAACTTTACTTTATACTTGTCTTTTCTTATTATATACATTTATCATGTTAATGAAAATGTTATATGGGACTCAAAAGGCTTAAAAGGATATCCCCATTCGTAACACACAAAATGAGATAAATCCAATTTCCTGCTATATATCTGAAACAACCATTGACATGGCACATTAAAAAAAATATCAGAATGTACAGCAGAGGGCATTTGTACTTTGGCTTTGTTGAACAAGTTTTCAAATGACATATCATGAGTATGCTGTTGCAGCAAGCCACAAGAATATGTTATAAGGAGACCAACTGTGTATTAAAGCTATATTTTGACTGGCCACGAGTCTGTCAAAAGGCAAGCCATTTATTAGGAATAGTTGGTGTTATCCAGCTTTTATATTTCAGCTGTCTTCTGCTATGAAATTCTTGCAGACCATTTGGCAAACAGTTCAGCAACTCAGACCTGCTGAACTTCTAGGTAACTAACTCCCCTGCTGAGCTTGGGAGACAAGCTGGCTGGAGACTCGTAGCTTTGTTTCTTGTGCTAATGAAGTTTAGACCATCCCATGCCTTGAGGCTTAGTGGCTCTCCAGAGCAATTGACTGAGAACAAAAGAGGTTTTTACATATCAAGGTGGAAGGTAGGGTGGAGCAACATTCCTGAGGAGGCAGGAGCAACAGGGGATTTTCTATAGAGGCAGACAGAACTGTGTGACTAGGGAGAAGAGAAAAACACAGAGGTTTGGTAGGCAGAACTCTTATAAAGTTCATCAGAGCCAGGAGCAGAGCAAAGAAACAGAGGGTGAAAATGAGGCTGGAAGCATAAGAGCTTAGTCGTTAGCAGGATTATGAGAGGGCAGTAAAAGAGGACAATGAGAAACTGAGTGTCAGAATGGAACTGAAGCTATGTAGACAGGATTTCATCCCAGAGAAATATAGTAGATGGACAAAGAGCTTGGTGTATCTAAATTTATTCCTGCCCTGAATTCCTGACGTAGCTGTAGGTGTATAGATAGACTTTTGTCTTAGAGGAATAAAGTTAATAGACATAAGAGCATAGTGT